CCCGCGGCCTCGCATTCTGCACGCCTCCCTCCTCCCCCCCTGCCAGCAACAGGCTGCCCCCTCCCCTGAGCAACAGGCTGCCGAACAGCAGACAAAAGCAGCCTCTCCGCCCCTCCTCCCCCTATACATGCTGGGCTCCCTGGGCAAACAAAGACTCCACCAAAACAAACAAAGTGCTGGCCTCATTGTGTTAGCAAAAAAGGACCCTCCTCCTAGAACCCTGGGTGGTGTGTGGAAATAAAGCTATTAGCTCAAAGCATGGTGCAGAGCTGTTTGGTATTTGATGAGTTACTCCTTTAGTCCTGAGTTTGTCACAGGGACAGAAATAGATGTGAAATCTTCTGAACAGGGGAACAGACAGCAAAACAAACATTAGAGGGGAGTTAACCTTTCCCTATGCTATCCAAAACTAAAAAAAATGTTTGGCTAGAGTTTCCGCTACAATATGTACCAGTTCCGACTTACATACAAATTCAACTTAAGAACAAACCTACAGTCCCTATCTTGTACGTAACCTGGGGACTGCCTGTATCATGCTATTACTGGCAGCATCAACGGATTCAGATTTTTTAACTCTCTCACACACACACACACACACACACACATGGCAGTATTAATCTGTATACAGTAGAGATTTGTGTAAACTCAAAAGAGAAACAAAGTCAGATCCTAAGCTGATGAAAGCTGGCATAGATCCATTGATGTAATGTTTTTAGTCACTGTGAATAAACACATCTACACCAACTGGGGATCTGGACCAAAGAAATATAAATATTTGTATCCTGCCCTGATTTGAAATCCTATACAAATCTTATTAAAAGATTAAAGCAAAATATTAGTCAAAAGAAATACCTTTCTATTATAAAGTTCCAAACAATTCCTTATGCAGCACCAGTGTTTCTTTAAGTTCATGAAAGGTTCATGCAAGTATGTTTTATGTCTTATTCTAATGTACATTATAAATTTAGTTGATTTCTCCCTGTATTTTTTCACACATATGAAGCTGACATTTTAAAACAGAAAGGTGTAATGCTTTGTGGAAAAATATGGCAAAGTACAGTGCTTCTACTAGATTGAATTATAATAGTCCAATGAATCAAAAGCTATAAGAGGGCTGCTGTTATTAACATCCCAAAATAATGCAATCTGAGAGAGAGATATACATACTGTATACATACAGTTGCTCTGAACTATAACATACATGTGAGCACGCACACACACATACACACACACACACACACACACAGGTATGGCAATTTTTTGGAAGATCTTATTGTATTATGGTTACTTACCATTGTAGACCAGATATCATATGTAATTCATTGGGGATAGAGGGACTACAGCCATGAGGAACAAAGAATAGGGATAGGAGGGGATGATTAGGCAAATGGTAACACCGCTCAAGAGGTACCACTATCACCAGATATGCATATTCTTGTTCAAACTGAAATCTCCAGGACCAACAGACAAAGAAAGGACTTTTAGGCTATGTCTACACAACAACATTTTGAAATAACTAGCATTATTTCAAAGTAAAATAGTCTGCGTCTACACAGCCGGCAGTTATTCCAACGTAATGTCAAATTACTGTCAAGATAGAGGATTTCTTACTCCGACTCCTGTAACCCTCATTTTATGAAGAGCAAGGGAAGTCGGAGGAGGAGTGCTCTGTTTCAAAATAACTGCTGTATAGATAGCACCAAAACTCAAAATAAGCTATTTCGAAATAAGCTATGCCATTGACGTAGCTCAATTTCCGTAGCTTATTTCGAGTTAAGCCCTGCTGTGTAGACACACCCTTAGATACCTAGCTTCAGTCCAGCTGACTCAGAGCCTTCTTTCGGAGCCAGCAAACAAACAGGAATTTCTGTCCAACGGTGGGGTGAAGGGGAGCCTTAGGGGAAGGTTGGAAGGATGGACACCTACCAGAGACTGTTGTTGTAGCTGAGCTCATCTCTGGTAAGCTTTCACCTGCCATGTAGGTTCTTTTTTTGTTTGTTTGTTTTGTTTTTAATACATTTTCTTCTTAATGCTTTTTCCTGAAGAATAAATGTGCTTCTTTATAAAGTACTATGTGGTAACTTACAGCTCCTGTCCAGTGCACTGTTGATAGCACTGTTGATAGGGAGAGCAAAGTTTAGGTGCTGGCCTGTTCAAATAGCTGCTGTGAATTACAGTTTAGGCAAGGAATGACAGCCTGGAAAAAGCCTAGTTAGGAGGGGAGAGAGGAAGGTCTCTGCCAAGGAGAAGTGATAGCAGAGGAGCTGGGAGCCTAGAGTGGGTGTCCTTGCTGGACCATAGAAGGGGAATACAGGCACCGAATGCCCTGAACTGTCACGTCGTAAGAGATTTTGATCTGTCTTGTAGTGTCCTTTTCCAGCTGGAACACAACTTGCTTTTAGGAGCTAGTGCCCTCCATGGGAGAGTTTACCTGGAACCTTCTCACTGTGTCCAGGGAAGATAGATTCCAGCAGCGTCAGTTGCTGTGGTTTTAGCATCTAAAGTCTCTTCAAACAGGATCAACATTTCTCCAAGTCTGTCCATTACTTCCCTAAATGTTCCCCAACCCAAAGCTCCTGGCTCCTACTCCTGAGCTTTCTGATCATAGAAAGGAGATGGGGATGGAGTTGTATTTAGTTTTGTTTGTGGGAGCAGTTCCTCCCAGCACTTCCTCTACATTTCTTCCTCTTTCTTGTATGGGGTCAGAAGGTTGAGCAGCAAGCTTTTCCCCAGGTGCAGCAGGTGGGGCTAATCATCCAGCCACTGGATGGTACCCCTTATGCTTTCGCACACCTGCATTTCTAGACTTTCCACACAAATGCAAAACATATCCCGCCAACGAACTCTTTTGTGATGGCCACATATTCAAACTCAGGGCACGGGGTTCCCTTTTCAATATATTGCCCTCCCTCAGTGTGGGCTCAGTGAATAGCCGCTCACTCGCTCTTCTTTTGCCACATGTTGGTGATGGAGGACTTGGGAAACTCGGCAGAATCACAGCATAGAAGCAGCCAGCAGTTGCATGAAAGCTGCTTTAAACCTTTCAGCTATTGAGCAGCTTCTATTCCTGCTTCAGGGCTACTTCACTGCAGGCAGGGGGGAAAGCTGCTGAAGGAGTAATTCTGCAATAGCCCACGAAAGCTTATGCTCCAATACATCTGTTAATCTATAAGGTGCCACAGGACTCCTTGTCATTTTTGCAGATCCAGACTAACACGGCTACCCCTCTGATACTCTGCAATAGCTGTGTTCCAGCAGTACCCAGCATTCATCTCATACCACATCTCATGTATAGGAATTAGGTTGGGAAGCTCTTCGTTTAGATGAGTCTTTCCAGGGACCCTTCCCAATGTGGGGCTTAGCTCCAGTCCTTCGTCCATGCCTGGGGTAAGTAACCACAGACCAATACAAATAAAGATCAAACAGCGACCAGGGCAGCAGCGGACCTTCCTCTTACAATCCTGGTGACAAGGACGGTGTGTGTGTGTGTGTGTGTGTGTGTGTGTGTGTGTGTGTGTGTGTGTGTGTGTGTGTGTGTGTGTGTGTTCAGTAGGGGAGCCTTCAAGTAAAACAGGGGCTGTCGTGTGGTAACTTGTACTGCCTCTTTAAAATTACATATGCACGGCCAGCATCAAGGTGCCTCCCACTGAGCCAAAGCTTTAGATGCAGGCACACAGACAAAGGAGTTCTGCTCCTTGTTGAGCTCCAGGGCTGACACACTATTCCAGCTCTGGCAGTAAAGTAACATTTTCTAACTCCCTCTGCTGTGTTCCTCCTGACCCTGCCTGAGATCCAGTGACTGATCCGGTGACTGCAACAGGGAGTGACCTGCGGGGTAACCTCCATTGCAGCGGACAGGAAGATGAACCTTGTCACAGGTAACCAGTTGTTGCTGGGCTGTCTCGGTTTAGGAGTTCCTCTGTGAGTTGCAGGAAAATGGTTTGAAAAGTCTGTCACCGCTGTCTCTGTAAAGCCTGTTGTTCAGGCACACCTGGGGTGTTTCTTGCTCAAGGGAGAAAGGGGCTGAATTTGCGGAGTCGCCAGGTGTTGCGGTGCAATACTGTGTGATGTGGTTGGCTGTTTGAAATTAGAGTCTAGTTTCTTTGCCATGCTAGCTGCCGCGTGTCGTTTTGCCACTCTCGTAACCCAAGTGCAATTGGAAATGAAAGTTTTGCAGGAAAGTTCCTCTCACAGACCCATCAGCATCAGTGCCCCGCAGCCTGTGGCCAGTTTTGTGGAAAATACAGCTCAGGAGGACAGCTCTGCCCTGCAGATTGTCCTCTGCAATCAACGTAGGGCCTGCATGATGATATTGGACATGAAGGGGACCCGGGTTTTAATACAATGAAGCAGCAGCTCCTGCCAATTTTATCCCAGTACTGCATGTAGCTTTAAGATTCTTACTGTGATGAACTGACGGGCTGGATCATTGCCAGCAGTGGGCGAGGAGGATGCTATGAGAGATCTCTGTTAGCATTGTGGTGTGTAAAGCACACATGGGTAGGGGAGTGGAGGGGGTTGTTTGTATCTGATACACTTCAAAGTGCATAGAATTATTAGAAATTCCATCCGTATCCTTTATAGAAATGACCAAAAACAAACAAAAAAAAGGATGGGTTCCCCTCCCTTTCAACAATTCTGAGCAGTAGTTCTCCAAGTCAGAAAGATGTTCTTTTCATATGAAAAAGGTTCCTCTTTGTCTAAGGGGGGGGATCCTCTCTCCTAGAGATATATTTGTCCATGTACAAGACCCTTCTGATCAACTCCACCAAGCAATATCATCAGCTGGTGGAAATTAGGGTGGCACTACTGTCTTCAGCAGAGTTACACCAATTTATATCAGATGAGGATTTGGTAGTCAAATGCTGGTCAGAAGAAATTTGCTAGCTATTCCACCTCTCGTGCGTTATGGAAGCTCCTATTCAATTAGTTAATGTATTTAGAAGCTAGCAATGCAATGTTGCGCTTTAGAGACCCCTTGGCAGAGTACAAAACCTCTGTATATATATAAAAAAGCACATCAGGTGTTACGCAGCAAACTGAGGTGCCTTGTCCTCCTAACTTCTCAGAGTCACTCAGCTGTATGACAGCACTGTAAGCAGAAAGGCCAGCAGAGGTTAAACATGGATTTCACAATGCTGCCACATGTCATTTTAGTCTGTGCAAACACAACTGCCTCGTACATAATTCAGCAGCAGCGTTTTATTATCAAAATCCAACATGTGGTCACAGTTCATAGGATTTGACAATAATCACAAAGAACTCTTTCCATACCAGGGCACTTCCTCCTCCATGTAGATCTGTATGTACAGCTGCAGAGCACTGGAGGGGAGGGGAGCAGTGATAACGAAGAGAAGACACTCTCCTTACAGCTCAGCAATTTTTTTTATTTTGCCGTTTGTTTCTCTATATGTGTCTTTCTTTTTTGTTTCCATAAAAGGTGGCAAATGTAGCTGTTGCTCTTCAGTCTCCCAGCAATGATAATGAGGAGGAGAAGGTGACTTGTTCCTTGAAGAAAGCATCAGGCAAACTCTCCTGCCACCTGCTCTGCCACTGCCCAGGTGATATTAACAAGTTCCCAGAGCCCTGCACAGCTGGTTGTGTGGAAAGAGCAGAGACAACACCATGAAGCAGGAGGAGCGCAATACCACCCACACCAACTTCGCTGCCATCTATAACCTCCACAGTGGGGACTTCACCTCTTTCCGAAATTTCTCCTTCCCATTCAATTTCAGCTACAGCGATTACGACCTGCCCCTAGACAATGAGGATGACGTGACCAAGACCCGCACCTTCTTCGCGGCCAAGATTGTGATTGGGGTGGCGCTCATTGGCATCATGCTGGTCTGTGGTATCGGCAACTTTATCTTCATTGCTGCCCTGGCCCGCTACAAGAAGCTGCGCAACCTCACCAATCTGCTGATTGCCAACCTGGCCGTCTCGGACTTCATTGTGGCCATTGTCTGCTGCCCCTTTGAGATGGACTACTACGTGGTGCGACAGCTCTCCTGGGAGCATGGCCATGTGCTCTGTGCCTCCGTCAATTACCTCCGCACCGTCTCCCTGTACGTATCTACCAATGCTCTCCTGGCTATAGCCGTAGACAGGTAAGTAGAGGGATGATTAGTTTGATTTATATGGGGGAGAGGAAACCGGGGATCCCTGTCCCTCTCAAAGGCCAATGTTTTCAAGTGCTGGTGCCACCTAAATAAGTGGCTAAATGTTTGGAGGTGCTGAGCACTGCTGGGACTTGATGTCAAGTCGCTTTTTTTAAGTACTCTGCACTTTCTGGAAATCAGGCCACTTTAATAGCGAGATCCTGGGAGATGAGCACAGAACAGGAATTATTTAATGAAATGTTGAGGGGGAGGAGTAGGGATTTGTCAAAAAATGCAGATTCACTGAAACTGGAAATTGCTGTGGAAACGTATCAGTTTGGAGAAAGACTTCCTCAGGTCCAGGATGGAATTTTGGAGAACAGAACCATCCCATAATAAACAAAAGCCTTTGTTAGGGCACGCATGTGAGAAAGCCAAGTTCAAGCCCCTGTACTACCTCTTTAAATCAGTGACTTAAACCTGGATCCTCCATATTCAAGATGAGTCCCCCTAGCCACTGGACTACACAGTCACTTTATCTCAATCTCTCCTCTTGAAGCTGTTCCTCAGTGTGTAGATAACTACATGTTCATTGGGCCAGAAACAGACTTAATCTGTATCCCACTGGTTGGGATACTAAACTAGTGACTGCTATTGGCTATTTTGGGGTCTTGGTTTCCCCTGTACAGAATTTCAAAACATTTAGTTTTCATTTGGAGGTGGAAAAATATGCACAGCAAAACTTCACATTTTTTTATGAACTGGAATTCTTGTTCTCCAGTCAGCTCATTTGAGAACCATTACCTACCATTCGATCAAGCACTCAGCAGCACCGAGTTCTTAGCTGAATGTTTAAATATTGAATTAAATACTTAGCCTCAGGCATCCAAAAATCTTCTCTCTGGGTCTAAATCTTCAATAACCCACTATCATCTCCTATTAATTTATTTCCTCCATTGGCACTGTCATATGCCCAATATTTCCCCAAAGCACTGTGATATTATGGTTCTACAGGGCCCATATGGACATCAAATTAGAGACATTTGTATTTTTCATGCAGTTATGAAAATGACGACTAATTTAAGACCTAGTTCCATTAAAGGAGCCCTTACTAACTGGATTTTGGGATGAGGGGTGACTCACAATGTCCAAATGCCACACAATTTGCTTCACTTTGCATCCCTGAGACCTTTGTATGGAGTTTCTCTCCTTGTAGAACCATTTAAAATATATTCAAGTGGCTACTGCTCTTTTCTGCCATGTTTTATTTGTTCCATATGCCACTGACTCAGCTAATTAGACCCCAGTTGACATTAAATTCCGTCACAATTGACCTATGGATGGAAAGTCAGAAGAGTGTGTTTACTGGGAGAAAGATCACACAACACACAGCATTGCTAAAGCTTGTGCTATATGACTGCCTTTGAAGATGTAAGACGGATCATTGTATTAGTATTGTATTACTGTTCTTTCCCCCTTAATATTTGCAATTTATCCTATTTCCTTCCCAGGCCATTTTAAGTTATAATCTCAGTTACACAGTTTGGGGGCCAGATTCACCTCTCACACTAATTTAAAACTGATTTAACTCCATGGAGGGCAGTATAAATACTGTTGATACAGACTCCTCTGAAACATTTCCACTAGCTACAGTGGGAATTGAATCAAGCCTTTACACTTGTTTAAGAAGGAGTAGAAACAGGCGCTATGAACCAGCTGTCCAGCAGTGCAAATCAGGATAGCTCCAGCGTAGTCTATGTGCATCAGTTCAGGTACCGATTTTATGATTTTGTTTGGAACGTATTATTCTTTTCTATTGGATTTAATTGCTGTTAGATCATAACAAATAGTGTGGGTGGACCTCTAGCTACCTCCTCTGTCCCTCACTTCACACAAAGTTGTTCCCAAACAGATGGAGAAGGTACTTGTCATGAAGTCCCTACATCTGCCAAAAGCACAGAGAAGGTTTTCCAGCAGTGCTCCCAATCCATCTATACTAAAATGATCCTGGAAAGAATTCAAAAAAGAAAGGCAATATCACAAAGCCAAGCCACAGAGTTTACATGAAACCATAGTTGGTTTTAAGTCTTCAGTATTCTCTATTTTTGTAATAGGATTACTATAAAAAAATGCTGAAAGCTCCTTTTATCTAATAGCAATCAATTGAAATCCCTGCGGTTATTTCTGTCATTGGGCAGATGTCTGTGTATAATTCACTCACATCTCCCCTGGTCAAAATGGTTAAGTGAAAGCAAATAAGTTGCTAATATGCAGGTACAGTGAGTACACATTGGAGAACACATTGTGTCTAGCTGGGAGCTTGGATAATCATGCAATAGACAAGCTTAAGATTGCAAGCTTAAATAATCTATTTAAAAAGATATCCCAGGAAAACATTCCTGCAGTTAAGACAACTTCCAGTACAAACATCCACATCCTTAGTACGCACAGGCTCTGGAACAAAGTTCTGAGCATGATGAGTTTGGTCACAGAGATCCTCTTGGGACTGTCACCTGATGTGCTGAAAATACCACTGAGCCGGTCTGCCTGCTCTTTAGGGCAGCTCACGAGCCCGTCCTGCTGAGCTAGAGCCTTTGGTCTTCTCCCCTCGTGATGGCACAGAATTGGGGTCTCAGCCAATGGCAAAGCAACACAGACACTGAGCTCCACTTAGCTCTGGGAAGGCTCAGTCAAAGGGATTTGACACAGCACCCAGGTGCACAGCCCCAGTGAGACCCAAACCCCAGATAAGTCCGTCCTACTATGCATAAAGTTTATACAGAGTTAGCTCATAAGTTGTTTGGCCTCTTTATCTATGAAAGAGATATGCACAGCTATTGTTCCCCCTACATAACAATTACTTACACTGAATTTATTAATAAATAAAAGTCATTTTTATTAATTATAGGAGATAGGATGTAAGCATTTGCAAGCAATAAGACAGATCAAAGTGAGTTACTAAACAAACAAAACACACCAGCTAAGCCTATTGCACTGATAAGTTGTTTCAAATCAAATCACTCTAGCACTTATTGCAAGTAAAGATTTTCTAGGCCAGAGATGTCCTTTCTGACTGGGATCCAGCAATTCTCTTCCACCCCTGTTGTTATGGTCCTTTTATTTACAGGTGTTTTCATGTATCCCATTGGGGTTCAAAGGCAGTAAAGCCAGCTGAAGACAATTATTGTTTACTTCCCTTTCATCAGACAGAATTTGCTTAGGGAGGGAAGCCTTTGTCCAATTCCCCACATCCCTGCTGAAAAATACAAAAATCAAGATGGATTCCAGCATCAGGTGACCTTAGCTGGAGCATCCAAATAGTTTGATGGACCATTAATTTATGAATGAGTGTTCCAATAATATTTAATACACAGGCATAAAAACACTTCTACTGAATGCTAAATTGTAGTTTTAAGCAATTGTTACATTTAGATGTGGAATACAAATTACAGATAGTTTGGGAGGGGAGACACATTTTTGTGAGTATATTTAATGAAAATATTCTTTTACATGGAAAAGAAGGTGCAAATATTTGTGCGAAATCATGACCTCAGTTAAGCAGAACTCCCCATCAAGATCTGAGTGAAAACAAACATTACAGTATGGCCCCTTGTGCCTTTTTAATTTAATTGAGTCAATAAAAATTGATGCATCTTGCATATAAATACTGGGATTTCTTCTTAGCTTTTGTTAATTACACAAATGTAAATGGCAGAAGAAAATTGATTGTAGTCCTGTAATGATTAATGAATGCAGTCAGCTGCCATCGTGGTAAGTAGCATGGCAGCTAAAAGGGCACAGAAAATTTAAGCTCCATAGTCTCTTGCTACACACTAAACAAAAAATCCACACTAGAATAAACTGTAAGGGTGTGTCTAGACTGGTTTCACAAGGCATACCTGCGCCGATCGACAAAGGCTTCCTTGTCGACAGCGGCGCGTCCAGACTGCCCTGATCTGCCGACAAACAGCTGATCGGCAGAGCGGAGCAGCCATTTAAATTTAAATGAAGCCACGATTATTTAAATCGCGGCTTCATTTCCCTCTGCAGATCTGTCTAATCTACATGCCTCCGTCGATGGAGGCATGTAGTCTAGACACACCCCAAGAGTTTAAGTATGAAGCTCTTTATCAATTACATGAAAACATCCTAAAATGTAAACACATCAGTATTACATCTCAAAAACATCATTAGGTCTGATTTCAATTCAAACCTTTAACACCCTATAAAATAATGGAAACACAATTTTTTAAGTGGTTTTACATAGAGATTCAATGGTAGTAACTGTACTTTTCCTAATTCTACACAGTCAAGAACTTCTCAGCCAAGGAATGTATTGGTTTCCTTTGACCCTGAAAGATTTATTATTGTGTGCTTGCAGTTCTCACACTTATGTATAGACTTATAAACTTATCACTTATGTATAGACTTATAACTTATGTATAGACTTATAGAGCATATGTATAGACTTATCAGCCCAATTTCAGGCTTTGTTTTTAACTTGTCTTCATCTCTTCTCCCTCAAGAAAACAAATGTCTGTCAAGTTCTCCGTTTTTAAAATCATGGCAATTTTGGTCCTCCCTCCAGCAAATCATTCTGTTTGGATTCAGAAATGTGCTTTAGTTAATAAGCTCTCTTGGGTTTGTTCTGAGTAATTTATTTATCTTTTGTAGGTACCTGGCCATTGTCCACCCACTCAAGCCACGTATGAATTATCAAACAGCTACTTTCCTAATTGCCTTGGTCTGGATAATCTCCATACTCATTGCAATACCATCTGCATATTTCGCTACTGAAACTGTAATATTCATAGTAAAAAGTCAGGAGAAAATTTTCTGTGGCCAGATTTGGCCAGTTGACCAGCAAATGTATTATAAATCCTACTTTCTCTTCATCTTTGGCATTGAATTTGTTGGACCCGTAATCACAATGACCCTGTGTTATGCCAGGATCTCCAGAGAGCTTTGGTTTAAAACCGTCCCAGGCTTCCAGACAGAACAGATCAGAAAGAGGCTCCGATGCAGAAGAAAAACAGTCATGGTCCTTATGTGTATTCTAACAGCCTATGTCCTCTGCTGGGCCCCATTCTATGGATTCACAATCGTCCGTGACTTTTTCCCCACAGTCTTTGTGAAAGAGAAGCACTACCTTACAGCCTTTTACATCGTTGAGTGCATTGCCATGAGCAACAGCATGATCAACACCATGTGCTTTGTAACTGTAAAAAATAACACCATGAAGTATTTGAAGAAGATCATGTTGCTCAGGTGGAGATCTACATATAGGAGCAGCAAATCTAGTGTTGATTTAGACATGAAAACCAGTGCAATGCCTGTCACAGAAGAGGTAGACTGCATAAAATTAAAGTAATGTCTTGTTGTTCTATTGGCATGACGTATTTTTCCAAGGTGTGTGGAGGAGGGGAGGGAAGTTGCCCGATAAACTTCTCTTTTTCCCTGATATCTGCTAGTGGAGTGAACACTGGACTATGAGTCAGTAGATCATGTATCCCTTCCTGACTCTTCCAGTGACCTGCTGGCCTGACGCTCTTTGCCTCAGTTTCCCCATCTGTAAAATTGGAACAGTGACACATATTTTGTAAATCCCTTTAAGGTTTAGAAATGGCAAGCTCTATCCAAGAGCAAGTTGCATTAACTGGGTCTGAAATTCTCTCTCTCCTCCCAATGATGCTGCAAATACCCTCCCATTTCCCCTTAACTCTGAGTGTGACCTTTGACCTCTTCAAGCCCATATCCCTTGTTTTCAAAGCACTCATCCTTCCCCACCCACATCCTCTCCATCTAGCTAAGGTGGAAAGCAAGACGTTGCTGTTTTATTGTACCCCTTACCCTCTCGAAATTTCCCATATCCTTCAGGAGCCCAAGCTCCTAGCAACCCACTGGCATGTCAGCCCCACACAACTTCCTGCTCCACAGCATAAAAGCCCTCTGCCACCAGGACAGGGTTGAGGTTTTTTTATTTGGGGGGGTTGGTCATTTCTTGCTCTAGCAAGGACCCTGAGTCCTTTATTGCAGCATCCTGCGCAGAACACTGTGATCTCATCCCCTTTTGTACATTTATGCAGAATGTTACATTGCTCTTGTGTACTTGAAAATGGAAGGACTCCATTTTGGCACTGGAATGGAGGAGTTCCTCCTCACCTGCTTTATGCTTCTGTCATGCTCACCGATGCTATCAACATCTTCCCCCAAATGCAGGCTCATTCATTTCAATGGGACTATTTTCTGACTAAGGAGTTAATTGGTGGTTAAAATTCATCCTTGTGCTCATTGCTAAGCCACCCTCTTACGTTCTACATAAACATTTAAAAGAGGGTTAGAGTGGACTATATATAGTTTATAGGGCTTGTACTGCCTCTTGTCATAAGGGTCAATTTCATCCATGTGCATAAGGAAGATAGAACCTGGCCCTCTATAAATTTATTACTGATTTGCTGTTTGACAGTTACTTGTCTTTATAAATGTAGCACAATCATGCACCATGCAACACGTCCAGATGAACTTGTGTGATCTTAGTTCCGTCTTTATTCATCAGCTTTGTACAGCAGAAGGATAAGTGCATCATATAATTAGTAACCGTGATTATACAGATAATGTCAGTGAAATACATTCATTTAGGCTCCAGTCTTTACATGCCATGAATTTTCATAAATTGAAATCAAGGCTTTTCACATGAGCTGTGGCACACTTGTCATTTTTATGTGTATGACACTGCCTCCCTTTGAAGTAAATCGCTTTTGTAAATAATTGGTCTGTGTGTGAATTTTATGTGAGCAAAAATGTTCATTATTTATTAAGTCAATAAATATGAGAATCTGAGTACCATTCAAAAGTATTTTTATGAAAATTGTTTTTCTGACTCCATTTTTTTACATCAAAGATTGGACTAAAATGTCATTAATCCCATTCTGGTAGCAACGATCAGTGGTGCTTTGAGGGGGTGGAGTAGGCCAAGAGGCCCCTGCTGGAGGTAAGAGTCCTGCCATGTCCATCCTGGGAAAGGAGCAGTAGAGCTAAATTCTCCATGCTGCCTAGAGAGACTTCGTGGGAATCAGCCAGTCTGGGGGAGGCTTCAAGGAATCAGTCAGAAGGTTGCAGACTAATATAAAAGGACCTGCAGTGCAGAACAGAGTCAGATCCTTTCTGGAGCCAGAGGAGGGGACACAGTTCTCCTAGCTGGCCAAAGGGAACTGCAGCACCATGAACAGTTCAGTTCTGGGAAAGAAAAGGGGAGCAAGAAAGAGCTACTGACTGAATGCCACACCATTACAGGTGTGGTGTCTAATGGAAATAATAAAGAACACAGAATTTAAGGCCAGAAAGTTAAGACTATCTAATATTACTTCCTGTCCTGCAGGCCACCAACACTCCCAAGCACTAACATATTGTAGCCCAAAACCACTATTAGACCAAAGCATTTCAGCCCACAGGAGACTAGATCATTGTGGGCCATGCAGACTAGGAAGGGTCAACATTTCTGAGGCAACTGCAATGGCAAGGAATTGATAAAGTGAGCCATACCTATATAATCTCAGGAAGCGAACCACATGCCATGCTGTAGAGGAAGGCCAAGGTATTCAAATTCTGTTATAATTATCTGCACTGTGACAAAGCTCCTCAAACTTGGTGGATCCTGCACTTTTAGGCAGATTTGGTTGCCTCAGAGGCTCACTGCAGCCTTCAGTTTTAGGCACCACAGCTAGGGCTTTAGCTTGCTATTTGCTGAGCTTTCACCATTGGCCAGTGTATGGTATAGAGGAGAATAAACTGCACATTCTTTTCTCTGAGCGGGAATGGGGAGTGGGTGTTGGGGGGAACCTGCGCCCACCTCCACCCCAGGGTTTTGAGATAGCAGCTGCCTATGAGAGTCTCCAACACCTGCTATGAGACAGCTACAAGTTCCCCGGCCTACTTCCCCTACACCTTCTCCAGCACCTTCCTTCTCTCAGGATCATCTTCCTAATCTTCCCTTGGCTCTTGTTTTCACCTACTCCTGGCTGCACTTTCCTCTGTCCTCTTAGCTACTTGCACATGCCACCAACTGCAGGGAAGCTTCTTTTATAGCCAGTCTCAAATGGTTTCTCTAAATGACCCCAGGTGTCCTAATCAACTCAGGCCTAACTGACTGCAAGCCTATTCAATTAGCCCCAGTAGCTCTACTGCCCCAATTGACTGCTAGTTCTAAACCAGCCCCTTCCAGCTACCTTGGGAACAGAGTCCTCAGCTGGAGGCTAACTTACTTCCTGAACTCCAATAGGCCTACTTTTTTGTATCCCTCTCACATGACCCTGTCACGGCACTTATTAAAGCCTGAGTGCTTACAGCCATATTGATATGCTTTTAGTACAGTGGTTCTCAAAGTGCGGTCCATGGACCACTAGTGGTCTGTGGACACTTCCTAGGTGGTCCATTGTGGGAACTCAGCCCCCTACTCTTCCCCCATGCACCAGGGATCCTGCACTGCTGCTGGAGCCTCACAGCTGGTGTACAGCCATGCAGTACTGGTGGGCAGGTGGGGAGGTGAAGAAAGCAAACTCACCCCCCCCCACCATGTGGGCTGCAGTGCTACACATGGGAGGAGTGTTGTCCTGCCTCCCACCATGCAAAAGTCCCACCCACCTCTAGGTGTCTGTCACACTTGGGACCCACCTAGCTCACGGTTGCCATGGTAAGAGTGGCATGTCACTCAGTTGCTCCCACAGGGCAGGCTGCAGGTTGGGCTATGCAAGACCCTGCTGGGCAAGACGGGCTCTTGTGGTGCATGAGCAGCCAGCACAATCCCCCTTCTCTGCCAGCAGGTTAGGGAGGAGGTGGTGCCGGGGCTGAGGAACACAGGTGCCATGGACTGGACCCCCACAGGACCTCACCCCCCAGTAGGGCTGGACAACCCAGGCTTGCCCATCCATCCATCGCTGCCTTGCTGCACCACACCCAGACTCCCTGTCCCCTGTGCCCATTTCCCTGAAACCCTCCCAAACCACCCTGACCCCAGCCCTATTCCCAGGGGGCACCCTGACCCCCCCATCACCCTGAACCCCCTCAGTCACTCTGCCCCCCCTCAGCTTTATCCCCAGTCATCCCCTGCACACATCTCTCTGTCCCTGGCCAGACAACCTACCCCCATCCTGCTCCTGCATCCACTGTTGCTCCTTGCACCCTCCCTCCTAGCCACACAGTGCACCCTCCCTTGCTCCTGCTCACTCCTCTGGCCAGAAACCCTACTCTCACCCTGCTTCTGCACTCCACCTCTCATCCAGATCTTGCAACCTCTCCCCTTTCTGCACCTGTCCTCCCTCCCAGATCCTGCACCCCATCCCTATCACTGGCAGCCCTGTCCCACACACTGAACCCCTCATTTTTGTTCCCACCTCAGAGCTTAAAGGGGTCTACAAAATCCACTAACTCTGGAACCCCAGAAAATTAAATCTGGCCTATGAGAAGCCCTGAACCTCAGTCCTCCCTGTCCCATCCCCTCTCTCCATGGAGCTGGAGCACCAGCGGAGGGAGGTGTCTCAGTTAGGGGCAACATCAGTCAAGGGTGGGGGTTTTTGGAGGAGTTTCTTTGCTTCTCACTTGTGTGGTTCCCAACTGATTTCATTGTGGGTAAGTGGTTCCCGACACAAAAAGGGTTCCCCACACCTGTCATAAAGAAAATGTTAAAACCTTTTGTGTTGGACATAAATTAATATTTTACTTTATTTAAAATGAAGTTTGATAAACTAACATGAGAAAGTTAAAATGCTTAATCTGTTCAATAATTTAAATTAAACCATTCTCCCTAGCTGCAGCACTAGCAAAATGGTTTGGGTGTAACTATGTAATTAACCCTGTGTTTACATTAGCAACTGGTGGTTTGCAGAAATGTTTACATTGAGCCAGGTGGTCCATGGGCCAAAAAGTCTGAGAACCACTGTTTTAATATAAAAATGTATTAAACCCGCTTTTGAAAATACAGTTTATGACTTAGAAATGTGTTAAATCCACAGACCTGCATAGAAGTCTGAAGTGACAGGTATCATTTATTAACTAACGAACCTCATAATTACCATGTTATGTTTATAGAGTCAGACTATAAGGTGAGAAGGAATTTACCTGATCACCTGGTCCAGTGATACTCAGGCCTCAGTGGGTTCAGGAGCCAAATTACTGATCAACATTACCCAAAAGAGCTACTGGCCAAAGGGAATTGCAGAACCATGGACAGCTCAGTGCTGGGAGGGGACACAGGACCAAGAACGCGCTACTGAGTCATTGCTATGCTTCAACATAGAACAGTGTTTCTCAAAGTGGTCCACGGACCCACTCTGAGATAGCTGCTACCCGGCAGCTCCAGTTTGTTTACTTACTGGCTCCGCAGGCATGGAGCCTCATGGCTCCCATTGGCTGCAGTTCACAGCCAAGGG